CCGATTTCATTCCTAAAGCTTCTGATTTGGATTGACCATTACGACCTGAATTTTTAGCAGGACCAGACTGCCTTCAGGGCAACGACATATAATCCAATTCTCTATCATTTCCGCTACAGTAAGCAAGTAATGGATACCGACCATATTCCCAAATTATTTTAATTTCTAAACCTGTTTTTTATACATCTTCCCGGATTGTCTATCAACCGTTGATCTTCTATCAGCCAACCGAATCTTCTTTCCGTTCATTTTAAATCATCACATAAAAACATCCGTTTGGCTCCCATAGTTACCGTTAATAATCATTTAAGATTGCACTTTGTAGTATTCGATATGATTATTCCATAAAGAACTCTTGAAAACAGTTTAAATAATTTTAGAGCAAAAATTGTTAAACTGAAAAAAGAGTGAAAGAGTAATGAGAGAGTCAGTTTGGAGTGATAGAAGAATATTAAATGTTAATATGTCAATACAACGTTCCCTTCACATTTAACCAATAATACAATCAGTTCGTTTATTTGCTAACTAAAATATAATAATACCAATTTCTACACAGCGGAATGAAAATTCAAATTTCGTCCCTCTGATCGATTCATAATGTATTCATTATAAATAATCTCTTGTCGTTTCTGTTGGTCAGCAATCTTCTTAGTTACTGATTCACAACTTTTAATTATTCCAATTGTGAACATTATCTCAGAGTTGGTGATAAAATGACCGATTGTGTTATCATTCGTGTGACCAAATAACATCTGCCAGCCATCAGTTGACAATTATTCAATTTTTGGTTTACGCAGTCTTCAAAGTTGTTAAAGTTTTGAAGAATTCATTTTTTTCTTTCATTTAATTTTCTTCATTTTCATGCATTCTCTCTTTATTTCAATTAATTAACTTAACACTTCCTTCATCCATTCGGTATTCGTCCCTTACTTACATGCAATGGCTTCAATTCATCCTCGTCCGGCTGTTTCACTTAAAATAAACCTATGGTCAACATTACTGACCGTCATTCATTCCTCTTCAATGATCCATCAATCTTTAGTCGTTCAAAAAAAATATTTCCGGCAGTGTAACATCTCATTCGGTTATACAATTTTTATCATTATCACATTTCGGACCATTTTGTACATTTACTTATGGCTCTTCACGTAAAAATTGGAAAGATGATATCGCTAAAGAAAATTTCAAACATTAAAACACGTGCTTGAAGCATTTAAAGAATTTCATTAAGTTCAGAAAACGAACTAAAAGTTTGATTCGAGAAATTTTATCAAAAATATTTGGAAATATTGCACGATGATAAGTTACGATTTTAAAATATAACAAAGCTTTGCTCCATAAAATTTTTATATTTCTTGTTCCAACATTTATAATCAAATTTCTTCAAGGCATTGACAGCGATTTTAGGTTTACGAATTTTGAACATAATAGAGGGAGCACATCTACGACTGATTAATGCAAAAAAGCAACTAAGATAATAAAACTGATATCACCGAATGGGAAGGCCGTTACTTCCTTATCTGCGCCAAATTTCATATTCCGTTCCTACCCACCACCACCCTCTGGTCCTTGTATTCCTTGCGGTCCTTCGTCACCTTGTGGTCCTTGTTCTCCCGGTGGACCTTGGATTCCCTTTAATCCTTGCTCTCCTTGATCTCCAGGTGATCCCTGCACTCCTCGAGGTCCCACCATTCCCTGAGGTCCTGGTGCTCCTTCTTCGCCATCAAGTCCATCCGGTCCTGGCGGTCCTGGCTCCAGGTTTCCCGTCTGCATTGGATTGCATCCCTGAAAAATTTTCACATATTTGGTATCCTAGCAGGGGTTACATTGGAACATAATCTTTACCTTAGAAATAATTCATTGGGGGACTTACTCGCGCCACGAAGACAGCGCAATTGACCAATAAGAAAGTACCGAGAAGATGCATTGGTCTGAAAGGTATAAAATCAGAAGTTGATTGTATTTATAGATAGTTGAAATTTCCCAAATTTTCTTAAAAATTTTAATCTTTTGAAGCTGTGCAAAAAAGAAAGAACATCATAAAAGGTATTCAGATTCCTTTAGATTTTATAGCACACATATCTTTAGAGCAATAACTGATAAACGAGAATTTAAATTTCTATTGCTTATAGAACTCAAAAGTTATAATACTTTTGAAATGCATGGAATAAGTCGTGTATAGAATCCACCCGATATAGAAGATATAAGAAAGAAATTTAAATTAAAATTTAATAGAGTGAGTTTTGAAGAGATTTTCCATTTATATTGGGAAATTAGATGTCTGATATGAATCATTCCAAAATTTATAAAACAAAGGAATATTTCAAGAATTCTTTGTGGAATAATCATATCAAAATGCAACCTTAAATGATTATTGACGGTATCTATAGAAGCTAAGCGGATCTTTTTATGTGATGACCTAAAGTGAATGGAAAAAAGATTCGTTTACTGATACAAGATCAACGGTTGATGCAGAATCAATTTAATCTACTCACACCACGTTTTCATCAGTAGTCTCACCAAGACTTATTTCATCAATTGGTTTTTACGATTCAGAATGTCATCCCACCGTTAAGCGAGAGACTGCTTTTCAGGAGACAGAAGTATTTTTTCCATTGTGACAATCTTCTATTTCACAATCCACTACTTTGTCAGAAATGTGAGGACTTTCAGAAATTCTACAAAAATTTTTTTCGTGAAATCATCTTCTAAAAAGACTTAAATATTTCGCCTAGCATTTTTCTTTAATTTTTTACAAATTTTGAAATGATCGAGAAATTGAGTGTTTGAAAAATTTTCAGCCGTTGTGGTTAAAAATTTGCTGAATTGCTGTGGGAAGAAATCTTTTCCTTATCTATGAGCAAATCATAGTTAATAGATCAGAATTTAATGTTCCATTTGAAAAATTATAATGCTTTGAAATTATATGTGGCAACAAGCAATTGATTGACATAAAAATTCTACATGAAAAACTGTGACGTTGTAGGGTTAAAGGTTTAAACTGAAATTTAATGAAGCAAATTCCGCTGAGAAATTTTCCATTTATATTGGAAAGTTGGATGTCTGATATGAATCTTTCCAGAATTCATAAAACAAAGAGCAGTTCAAGAACTCCTTGTTAAATGGTCATTCAAATGCAACAAATTACAACATCAGACAATATCTATGAAAGCTAAACAGAACAATATCTATGAAAGCTAAACAGACCTTTTCATAAAAGGAAGGAAGATTCAGTTGACTGATCAAAATTTAATAGTTGATAAAGAATTCGACAAATGGAGAAAAAAGCGGATTCTGAGCCGTCGAGAAGTAGAATTGATTTAAGATATGTATGATGTCGGTTATCAGCCAATTAATAGTTTCTCAGGAATTTCTGAAAGTGCTCGCATTCCTGGCAAAGCAGTGGATTGTGAAATAGAAGATTGTCACAATGGAAAATAAAATATTCCTGTCACTTGGAAAACAATCTCTCTCTTAACGGTGGTGATGGCATTTTGAATCGTAAAAATTATTTGATTAAATCAGTCTTGGTGAAGCTACTGATGAAAATATGGTGTAAGTAGATTAGGTTAGATTAGCTTAATTTTTTTTAAGGACGTGTGCAGAACCGCACTTCGATTCGACTCGAACACAATTACTGAACCTTAATCTTTTCAAAATTGAATTAAACTTTACTGGTAACAAGGAGTAGTATAAAAATAAACAATTGGAGCGAAAGAACTGAAAAGATCGGATAAAGCTAAAAAGTTTTACGATATGACAAGAAAGAGCACTGAAAAAAACCATATTAATTTCTCACTCTCATATTTCTATTTTATAATATAAATTAAATGCATAAAATAAGTCAGATTAGGAGAATCAAAACTGAACAATTTAAAGGTTCGCAGGAATTCCTGCAAGATTAATCAATTGCAAATAACCGCCACTAATGATATATCACTTATGCTATTCAAGTGTTTCAAACCTGCTCTTCCATCCACTCTCCCGGATTGATCCAACAACCGTTGATATCAACCAACAGAATTTTCTTTCCATTCACTTTAAATCATCGGATGAAATGATCCGTTTAGCATTTACAGATACCGTTAATAATCCTTTAACACTGCACTCGATGCGATCACTTCACAAAGAATTCTAGAAATGTTTCTTTGTTTTGCAAATTCCGGAATGATTCATACCTTTGGTAATAACTTAAGCCCCTTTTGGTAATAATAACTTTGGTAATAACTTAAGTAATAACTTTTTCTCAATGCAAACATATATTTGCAAAAGTTTTATTCAATTTTATAAATAAGAGAAAATGCCATAAAAGAAATGAAATGAAAAAAGATCTATGTTATAAGCAATCTAAATTAGCTATTAGACAATCGCTTGCAATTGAGTTGTGATTATATCACTGATAAGATAAGAATAAAATTTTTTAATTTTTATTCAAACATTTTTTCAAAACATTTTTTCTGAATTAAAAACATTTTTTCTGAATAAGAAATACAACAAATTATGTAAAAATAATTCAAAAAAACTTAGTATTACTTAAATGCAAAACATTTTGGGAAGAGAAATTTTCTTCTTATATAATTCCATCATTAATTAATTACTTTATATTTTTAGAAATCACAAATTCATTATAAGAAAATAATTAAATTAAATTATTGTACAATTTATACAATTTAATAAATTAAAAGTATAACCTGAATAAATGATCTGATATAAATTCGATAGGCATTGCAAGCATTTCGTTCGATCAATGTTACACCTGAAGGACTTATTATCACAACCAGTTTTTGGCCTTATCCAGCATTTATCGTTAATGATATTAATATTGCAAAAGCAACTTTTATCAAAGCAAAATATTATTATATGCTTATGGGATTTTAGACACAATAGGAAGAACACATCAACGACAGATTAATGCAAAAAAAAACTAAAATAAGAGAACTGATGTCACTGAATGGGAAGGCCATTACTTCGCTATTTACGACAAATTTCATATTCCGTTCCTACTTACCACTACCCAGTGGTCCATGCTCTGCCGGTGGACCTTGGATTTCCTTTAATCCTCGCTCTCCTTGATCTTCAAACGATCCTTGCACTCCTCGAGGTCCCACCATTCCCTGAGGCCCTGGTGCTCCTTCTCCATCAAGCCCATCCGGTCCCGACAGCCCTGGCTCCAGATTTTCCGTCTGCAGTGGAATGCCTACATGTTTGGTATCCTGAAAGGGGTTAAATTGGATCATAATCTTTACCTCAGAAACAATTCATTGGGGAACTTACGCTACCGAAAGGTACATGGTCTGAAGAGGTGCAAAATCAGAATTTGATTGTACTCATAGGCAGTTTAAATTTCCGAAATTTCCTTTAAAATTTCAACTTTTCGATGTTTCGAACTTTTGAAGATTGTGCTGATAAGCAACTTTTCAGTACCAATACATATCGAAGAGATTGAAGAAGCAATTGAAGAATTTAAAGCGATAGATAAATTACAACAGTTGAAACAGTAATAATTCTTATTTCTCATTCCTTTACAATGTCTGATTTTTAGATAGTTTAATATTATCTATCTTCAACTTTGTTATAATTATCATATTAGTAAAAAAATTTTGTTCAATTTGTGCACGTTCTTTTGAACAAGAATTATATATCATTTTAAAGAATATTAAGTTTTAATTTAAGTCTTTAAACTCTCACATATCAGAATATATTCTAATCAACTAATTAAAGTGTATTCCTCATATTTCAAAAATGTCATAATTTTTAAAGTGAAATTTATAAATTCTGATCTAACAGTTGTGGCTTTTTATGAAACTGTCTACTATAAATAAGGAAAAGGTTTCGTCTATGAAAGGTTACTATCTTGAAGCGATCTTCTAAAGAGACCTTTATAGATCGTTAAAATTTCTCAAATTTTCTCTTTTTAATCATTTAATCTTTTGAGGTTGTGCAAAACGAAAGAACGCCATAAAAGGTATTCAGATTCTTTTAGATTTTATAGCACACAATTCTTTAGAGCAAATGATAACTGATAAACGAGAGTTTAAATTTCCATTACTTGTAGAACTCAAAAAGTTATAATACTTTTGAAATGCATGGAGTAAGTCGTAGTATAAAATTCACTTGAAATATGTGAGAGAGAGTTTTAAGATTTAAATTGAAACTTAATAAAGCTAATTTTGACGAAACATTTCCATTTATGTTGGAAAAATATCAGAGATAAAGAGTGCTTCCCATATTTTTCTGATTTGGGTTATTTAGTACTTTGATCATGTTATGAGAACTGTAAGCATGAAATCGTGATCGGTAATGAAAGAGTATTTTCAAAAAAATAATCTTGCAACATTTTTGAAGACCGTGCAACGAAGAATATTCTGTTGTAGGGGAAATTTTTGGATAAATTGATTGGTGAAATTTTATCTGAATTTCAAAACTTTCAGATGTTTGTGAAATTATAAATTTTTACTAATTTTGTACAACGGATTCTATACAATTTTCCTCACTACGATGGCTTATACAACTCATTGTTTCTCCTATCCAAAAAATTTAACTTGTATTTCAATTGCAGTCACTAAGAGGGAAGAAGGTTAAAGTTGAACATTTCAAGAGATTCATAAATTTCTAAAAAACAATTTATAAATAACTGACATTAACTAGATTTTCAACTACTTTTGTTTCTCGTAGATTCAAAGATTATTTTTTCTTCCATCTCCCGGATTCTCTGTCAACTGCAGGTCTTCTATCAATCCTACCGAATCTTCCTCCTATTCATAAAAAAAAACCATTTCGCAACCGAATTATTTAATAAACATATATTTAATTAGTCTAATTAATTCAATAAGCAGACAAGCTCTAACTTATCATCCATTGTTACAATGATGACTGTCATATCTTTATAAAATCATTGTAATTCTTTGGTTAGTAATAAATGATTGGGTAAATATTATTTTGATAATTTCCTTTTACTTTTTGCTTTCTTTCTCTCTTTTAATCTAATTAAATTCATTTTTAACAAATTTCCAACATTTTTTACGCATATAACACAATATTATTTCTCATTTCGTCAACGAGGAAATGATAATTTTCAGTGATAAAAGATAATGATACTAATGATAACATTGTCGTGCAAACTTTTTCACTCCAAATTTGATAAGAATATTACTGTTGACATACCTGTGACAATATATGTATCTAATAGCTGCCATATTTTGCAGTTGCTTATACCTGTATATATTTTTATTACATTTATCATTTGTTAATGCATTCCATTTAAATCAATACGCAATTATCAACTAACACTAAAATATTGATGCAAAAAATACATTTGTTTAATTAAAAAATGAAATTTGTTACTAAAATTTAATGAGATTTAGCTTGAGAAATGTTTTGAGGAATATTTCAATTCTTTTAAATGAATGTAATACTATTAATAATAGTATAAAATATTATTAGAAGAGAAGAAATCATAAATGATCACATTCCCAATAACATTATCAAATGTTATTCATTGAAATTTAAGAAAAAAATTAAAAGTTAAAAATTTTTTGCATGTTAAATTTTATATAATATAGGTAAATTAAATGTTAAACCTATGCTTTGATTGACAAAATTTCTTAATTTTCTAATTTCTTTCAAAATTATGAATGCAACATATTAAATAAAACATATTATGGCTACCTGTAAAGCCATATAAGCCATATTTTTTTAGTGAAAAATTTCAATTTGCTAAATGTTTTTTACATGGAAAATTTCGGTTGAATTTTTTGCACAGAAAGAAGGAAAGTTTTTTTTTTGTAATGTTTAAATTTCATTTGTTTTAAAATGTTTATAAAAATTTGATAGAAAAGAAGGAAATGTTACTTAGTACTATTAAATTGCTTTATTGTAGAATCTTCTTCTCAGAAATATTTCCATTTGTCTTACTAAAATGCTTACATTTTTTTTAAACATTTTGAAATGATAAATAAACAAAGTTAGAAGTGAAAAGAAAATTTTGAAAGAAAAACTGATAGTTGAAATGAGCATTTGAACAAAAGTGTTGAAAAAATGTCGTAAATTTGCAAAAATTCTTCGTATCCTTTTAATGAGATCATTATCATTATTAACACTTCTTATGTTAATAACTTCTCTTCGATTGCAACATTCTTCAAATTACCGTCGTTTTCATCGTCTTTGAAATCTGTACAACAATTTCTCATTAATTTAATACGATTATTTAAGTTGAAGAAAAATTTTGATAAATTCTAATTAATTAATTCGATTTTACTGATTATGGTAGATGACTAAGTATAGTATAATTTGTGTATAATAAAAGGTATAGCAAATTCAATTATCTATCTTTTAAAATAATGAGTAGATAATTTTCGAAAGGTAGGAGATAGTACAGCAATGCATAAAGGGAAATTTGGACTGTAAAG